GAGAGAGAGGGGAGGGGTGGAGAGAGTGAATAAGAGAAAGATGTAGAAACAATGACAGAGAAAGACTGTATGGAGTAATATACTCGCATGTGAGTGTGACGGCAGGGGTGGGTGAGATAGACAGATAGAGATACTTGGAGAGGAAAATGGAGAGAGGGGTGAGAGTCACAGAAAGAGAGTGAGGGAGAGATAGAGATAGAGAGAGAAAGAAAGAGAGAGAGAGTCAAAATAGACAGAGAATGAGTCAGGGGAGCTGATATAAGTTGTTGGTTATCGAACAGTCACAACAAGGGTTTTGTCTAAAAGATTATGGATGTTAAAACTGTTATACTTCAGGGTACATAAGAAATACGTTCTGCGAGATGACCACACAGTATTAACCTGGTATTCATAAGAGGCATCTACGTCATTAGTATGACCACGGATCAAACCAGTGGACGTTTCGAAGTGAGTGTTACTAAATACGATAGAAAACAGTACGTTTCTTTAAGACGCCAATTCACATGCTAATAACAGAGAAAATATTTAATTGCATCAAAAAAAGATCGAATACGAAGTATCAAACATGGTAAATATGGGACTTCCGTCCAAGGCTCATAGCAAAGACGTTATAAAATGAAATAAATAGTCATAATATAAGCGCATCACTCATCATACACCCCTCCCCTTCTCTCTCTCTCTCTCTCTCTCTCTCTCTCTCTCTCTCTCTCTCTCTCTCTCTCTCTCCCCCTCTCTCTCGTTAAGCCCTGTGTCATCCCCCCCACACACACACAAATGTGTGAGGAAAAGCTACTGCACTGTCAAATACATTTAATTATGCAATTTTGTCCTTACACACGAGGCAACTGCAACCTTTCTCCCTCGGATGACATAGAGTCTTTTCTGATACTTGCTGGCACGCCCAAGGAACTGCTTCGTTTTGCCTTCACAGATACTGCAACATACGGGAACAGAACAAGGTCACCGTGTCATCAATATAATGATAATGATAATAATAACGATCATGACAATGAAAATAACACATGTAAAGAAGAAGAAGAAGAAGAAGAAGAAGAAGAAGAAGAAGAAGAAGAAGAAGAAGAAGAAGAAGAAGAAGAAGA